TAAAATTATATGCAGGTCTGTTTCTGCAGTTGAGAATGTTGTAGAAACATACTNGTGTGAAAACAAAGAAAATAAAAAACAGTTATATAAAAGAATATAAATGAAAATAAATATAAATTGAAAATAAAAAGTGAATAATTTACATGTTACTTTAACTATTAAAATTTATTATCAATATTACCAAAAAAAAAATAACGCATTATTCAAATTTACACAAAAAACATATATACATAGCCATATACATAGGTGTACATACACAAATATACACACACAAACATCTATGGATACACAAACATACATATACAAGATAAACAAACATAACAACAAACATACACAGATTGACACAAACAAATGCAACCTACACATATAAATAGACATACATACACATACTAAGATAGACACATAGAAAAACACAAATAAATGCACAAACACTATCAAAGATAGACAAACAAACACATATTCACACACATAAACATACACATACATATGACAGATACACACATAGAAAAACGCAAATACACACACTAACACACCAGCATACACACCAACACACCAACACACACACCACAAAAGTATCTAATATATTTTTTAGAGCAACGGGCTACCTCTAGTGTCATCAATTATTGAAATCATATCATCACAAATACTTTACTTTACTTTGAATTAGACTAAGGGATTTTGTCCCTTCATATTACCTTCACTCACACATAGATACATGCTAAGAACTAAGTCCTCATTATCTGATAGGAGAAAATCCTTATAGCCTACTAGACACATCTATTTGACATCATGATGGGGTCATAGAACCTTCATAAACTCTTACCACCTAATATATTTTTCTATGTGAATTTGATATTAATAGAGCTAAGATAATCTCTTTTCCAATCTCATTCAATACATAATCACTACCAAAAAAAGCTGGTATTACTGACGGCCATAATTCATCGGTAACAGCCAAAAGTCGTCGATAATACATGTTTATCAATGGATTACAGGCGGTCGTTTTTCTGTCGGTAATAATGGTGTCGATAACCACTACCAACAGATATTGACTATTTGTAATTATCGGCGGACCGTCCTTCGGTAATTACCGAAGAACGATTCGCCGATAATTACCGAAGGATATATCCGTCGATAATTATCGAAAGATATATTTGCCAGTAATTACCAAAGGATATATCTGCCAATAAATTTGTCGGTACCTTCGCAGCAAATTCAGGTGCGTATTGTATTGGTGGTTTACTCTCACAATTCAATCAACATGCATTCAACCAAGCAATATAAAGTCCAACTAGACCTGCATTCAACAACCAAGCAATATAAAGTCCAACTAGACCTGCATTCAACAACCAAGCAATACAAACTCCAACCAATGCAACTTCAAGCAATATAAACTCCATCCAAGCAATATATATAACTCCAATGTTGTTATTGAAAAACAAATGTGTAATAAGCAACTAAACCTGTGAATAAACAAACTAATTAAGTTTATAGACAATATAGGAATCATGTAAATTTTCATACCCATAAAAACTTATAATCTCAATAATGTTCATAGCCGTAAAAACTAATCATCTAAATATTCATCGTCTTTATTGTCCTCTTCTTGTTGATTGTTTTCAGGCTCAAAAGTTGGATGGACTGGTGATGTTGACTTGGGCTTGCTAAAAAAGAAATGGTGATGGTTTGTGGATTCATTCTTTCATATGTGACTGTGACAATTTATTGGAAAACTTAGTCATGTCTTTGCATCAATGTTCCTTTTGTTTTTGTTTGTAAAAATACATTGTACTTGTAAACAAAGTTTGTGGTTGTTTTACTTTCATGACATTTAAAACCAAAATCAAATCTTGGTTCTCACCTTGGTTCATTTCTTCCACCAATTAAAAAACAATGTCACAATGAAAAAAGTATTTATGGACTTGTTTTAGTTTGAGTTGTTGCTCTAGGATTTTAGAGGAGAAGAAGAAAGAGGCTACAGAGGGGAGAAAGCAGAGAACAGAAGCAGATCGGGAAAAATTCAAAACACTTAGGTAGTTATATTTTCTCTATCCAAACTTCTTGTTTGTAAGGTATATACATTTATAAGAGAATCACTAGTAAAAAAAAGCTTTTTTAACGCGCTATATACGTCTCGGTTTTACTGAAACCGAAGCGTATAAAAGTGCGGTGGCATTTCCGTAAATATTGAGTGGTTATATGCCTCGGTTCTATATGAATCAATGCCTATAGATGTTACTACCTCGGTTAGAAGGCCAACCGAAGCATAAAAGTCTGCTTCACCTCACCAGCATCAATTGTAAAATCAGGCTTTTTTTCTGACAATGAGATACTACCTCGGTTTTTCTCAAAACCGAGGCATAATAGCCTGCCAAATCCAATGGATATTGCCTCGGTTGGTGCCTACCCGAAGCTGTAGGACCTTTCTGCTTCAGTCTGTCTGTAACCCGAGGCATATAATATGAATTTTAAATTTTTTAAAATGGTTTATGCACCGGTTTGCTCGTAACCGAAGCAGTTAGTTGGTTTAGGCACCGACTTTTCGTATAACCGAGGTAGTAGCCCTTAGGTTAAAGTAAAAAAATGAAGTTATTGTTCTTCTTTGTCTCTCGCACTCTCGTGATTTCTCTCATTTGTGCCTCCCTCCGCCTCGCGATTTTTCTCCTTTGTGCCTCCCTCTGCCGCTGCTGCCGCCGGTGCTTCTTCCAAGGACTCCACGGTGCCTCCATTTCTCTCGCGCTAAGGTTGTGCGTTGCCTCAATTTCTCTTGCGCCAAGGGTTGTGTGTTTGTGCCTCCGACGACTGACGCGATTGCCTCCGACGATTGACGCTATTGCCTCCAACGACTGACGTTGTTGCCTCCGCTTCTTCATCTAACAACTTCACGCTGTTGTTGCCTTTGTAGCCTCCACCGGTGCATCCTTTGCCACTACAGCCTCCTGCTGCTGCAGCCTCTACCGCTGTAGGCTCTGCCTCCACTTCCATTTCTTTATTTCTTTTGCGCCCCTCTATTACGGTTTTTTTATTGTATTTTAGTGTGTTTGATTGATAATAATTGGTGGGAGATTGATATATTGGTATAATACTAGCAATTATATTGTTATTTGATCATAAAATTTTGATATTTGGTTAATAATAATTGTTGTGAGATGATATATTAGTGATAGATAGAATTATAAATTTTATTATTCTTTGGTGATTAAAAAGGATATGTGTTTGATAATTGTTGTTGTGAGATTGATATATTGGTTATTGTTATTTCATGATTAGATTGATATAATGGTTATTGTATTAAATTGGTTGGTTTAAAGATGAAATCATGTTTAAGGTTGGAAATCATGAGTTGTTTGCTTCAATATATTGTTTGTTGTTGTGAATTAGCCTTAGTTTCCCGTTTGAGATTCAATACAAAAAATATTTACTATCTCCAGACTTTTTTAACAAATGTACTTTTTACAAATGAATAGAGAGGAGATAGTAATAATAATTTACAAGTATTGAATCTTGAATTGTCCGGTTGGACAGTTTAAGAAGAGTAATAACCTTTTTCATGGTTTATTAATACATATCAATTTTAATATACATATCTTAAATTTCATGAAATATTGCAGTTGTGTTTTGTATTGATCTTTGGGTGCATATTTGATTGTGATTTATAATCACTTTCATTTCGTGTAACTTGAAGACCAATGCGAAATACTGTCAAAATTTCGTGAAATTTTAGATATGTTATTTAAAATTTATATGTTTAAAAAAGTGAATCTTCTTGAATGGGATAAGATCACACCTTGAATACAAACACGATCAAAGTGATCATTCAAGATTATTGAAATTTTGTAAACAATTTCAGTAAACATGTGTACGGATCGAGGGTGGATGAATTTACCACGCATCAGCATTGAGTACGAGAGAGGGGTAGAAGAATTTATAGAGTTTGCGCAACGTAATGCGAGTACAAGTCATGATGAAGTCAAGTTTAGATGCCCCTGTGTGAACTGTTTGAATGGCAGGAAGTTGAACGCAACTGATATTAGGGTATGTAGCAGATATTAGGATATAGTAAGTTTTAAGTTTATGCTTCTAAGTTGTTTTATGCTTTTGTACATTATTATTAGTTTAACTTTGTACATTGGATTGATTTATGGTTCAAAGTTTATTTATGATTACATTGAATTGATTTATGCTTCTAAGAAGTTGATTTATGATTACATTGAATGCATTTATGTTTGAATATAATTTTTATTGAAAATATATGCTTCTGGATTGTTCTGAACTGTTCTGGCTGTAAAATTATATGCAGGTCTGTTTCTGCAGTTGAGAATGTTGTAGAAACATACTTGTTCTTAAAAAAAACAGGGGAATACGCCTCGGTTGTGACCATAACCGAGGTAGAAAACCCCCCTATGACATCGGTTAAGGTCAAAACCGAGGCAGAAAGTCAGCAAAAAAGCAAAACAAAAAAAAAATTAAAAAACACTCTACTGCCTCGGTTCTGGTCCCAACCAAGGCATTAGAGGCGAACATACTGCCTCAGTTCAAAAGGAACCGAGGCGTAAAGTCCTTCCAAAAAAAAATAAAAAACAAAAAACATATTGCATCGGTTGCCTTTGAATCGAGGCGAAATCCACACTTTTATGCCTCGGTTCACAATCGAGGCATAAAGGTGTAGACTTTTTGCCTCGCCTTTATATGCTTCGGTTCAAGAACTGCTACCTATGATCGAAAATAACTGTTGTCATTTCCCCTGACTGCACTACTGAATTATAATAAAAAATTGTTTCTGTTTTTGGTTTTACATTTGACCATATTTAAAATGGTTATATTCTTCCTCTTTGTTGTACCATTATGTTGTGGTGTTTAAGGAGGGGTAATCTCATGTTTTATACACTCTTCTTCACAAAACTTCTTGAATTTCATGGAGGTATATTTACCTCCTCCATTTGTCCTCAGAGTTTTTATCTTTTTCTCACTTTGCCTCTCCACCATATTCTTGAATTTTATTAGAACTTCAGCACCTCACTTTTCCTTGATAGCAAGTATGTCCAACATTTCCTAGTCCAATCATCAACAAACAACAATAAATACCTGCTATCTCCAGGTGTTTCAGTCTGAAAAGGACCACACACATCTGAATATACCACACTCAATTTCTTTGTTGTCCTTTAAGGCAAGAACTTCTGAAAGCTTCCTCTAGTTTTCTTACATTGAACACATTGTTTACATACTTCTTCATGAATTTCAACCATAGGTAGGCCTTTAACCATTTCACGTTGACTAAGTTGAGATAAATCTTTAAAATTCAGATGCTCAAAAGTCAAATGCCATAGCTAGCCATTGTATTTTGTTTTTAGAAACAACAAAGCACTAATGTTTGACAACATTCATCACCACATGAAACTATTCTGGGAAAAATGTGCTTGAACGATCAATCTTCTATTTTGATCAAAAATACTAAGACAATTATCTTCCATTTTTATCATAAATCCCTTTTGGAGCAGTTTGCCTAGACTTAGCAGATTTGTTTTCAACCCTGGCACATACAAAACTTCATCAATCACAACTTCTCTACCATCACCATCTCTCAAAACAACTCTTCCTGTTCCCTCTGCTGCGAGACTTCTGTCATCAACAAACTTGATCCTCCCTTGCATGACTTCTTTCAGTTTTACAAACCACTCCTTCTTCCCAATCATATGTGTTGAGCAGTCTGAATCCAAGTACCAAATTGCATCATCTGACTGGTTTTCATTTATATTAGCCATTAACATTACAACCTTGGCTAAATGAGCTCTATCTTTCGATTTATTCTTGGCTCCATCCCCTTTTCAACATTCTTTGGCAAAGTGACCAAATTTCTGACAGTTATAGCACCTCACCTTTTTTTGATTATCAAACTTCCCTTCTTTTTCTCCATCAGAATTGGTACAAGATTTTTTTTTCTTTTTGCCTTTGACATAATCACTAGAATCTTCACTATGTTGTTCCTGTGATTCCTTCTGCTTAGTGCCACCTTTGCCGCCCTTCTTGAACCTTTCCTTGCCTTTGAATTGAGATCTTGTCTGAAGCACTTGTTCTTTGCAGTGTCTTCGCTCATTAATACGATATTCATGTGCCTCCAATGAATGTTGTAGTTCTTCAATCTCCAAGGTCTCCAAATCACGAGTCTCCTCAATAACCATAACCACATGATCAAATCTTGGAGTCAAAGTTCTCAGAATCTTGTCCACCACATATTGGTCTGTAATGCCATTTTTCCATGCCCTCATAGCATTAACAAGTTTTTGTACCTTATCAAAGTATTTTGCATAGTTTCACTTTCATCCATGGTCAAAATTTCAATCTGTTTTCTCAAAGTTTACAGTCTCACCTTCTTGTTTTTATCACTATCATCGTAAGTCTTCGTCAAAACCTTCTAGACTTCCTTGGCAGTTGCTGCTTTAGAGGTTTTGCTTAAAATCTTTGAGCTCACACATTGATAGATGAGAAACCTTGCCTTGCTATCTAATTTTTGTTGCAATACTTGTAACTTTTTTTCCTCATTAGTTTCCTTGTTATCTAGTTCCTCAAGACCACACTCTATCACCTCCACCACATCCTGGAAGCCATAGATGGCCAACATCTTGATCTTCCGATCATCAAACATCTTCGTATCAAAAACTAGAAGTGCACCTGTATCATTCCTCCAAACCCTATTTTTGTTTTTTGATCAAGTCTTGAAGATTCTTGGACCTTGTTTCACTTGAATACTCTTAATCTTGTATATTAATCTTTTTTTGGTACGGTCCAACCTCTTTTCTAAGTTTAGTTTTCCTGTTCATTAATTCTTCTTCAATTTTATCAAAATTCTTTATTTGATATGAAAATTGAAACAAGCTTAGAAAACATTTCATGGTAGCTTTTTTTTTTATTGGTTGCATACTTTTTTATGTTAGACCTTGTATTGTCTAATGTAAAACTATTAGGTCTAAAATAATTTTATGTCGAATGTGTTTCATACTACATAAGTTTATGTTGTACAATTTTTATACGACGTAAATTTACATATGTATTGTAATGATGTCGGACATATATCTAACATAAAATGCCTAAAATTACTAACGTAAAAGAAACATGTTTCTCTTGCAATGAATTTTTTTAACATTCATTTACCTATCTTTCTTTCAGCTCTTTCAACATGTTTTAAAAATATAAATCTCTAACAACTATAATTTTCCTCAAAGTTTAACGAGTATCCAAAATGTGAGATATCTTAGTTTTGAGTTTATATTGATAATATTCATATATTTCGAAAACAGAATCCTAGTATATTCAACATTCAAGTAGTTGGCTCAGCCTATGTTTGAATAGTTAAGTTGAGGTCCTAGATTCAAACTTCATACCACAATTCAACTTCAAAAGAAAACGACATTCAACGTTGTAATACAATGAAACATAACATTATATGGAAAACAAAGAAAATACAAGGAAAAATATATTACGATTCAAAGAAAAGCAGCCAACATGCCTAGTTTTTAACTATGCTCCAAGGCCCAAATCTCTTCGTATTGGGATTTGGAAAATTATGGAGTTCGATTAAAACTTGTCTCCAACAAGATAAGTGAAACTGAAGCCATGAACATTAACCAAAACCAGAAGCTTCTCACAGCCTCTATAGATGGTTGCTTGCAGTGAAAGAGGAGCTAATCCCACAAATATCTGTCCAAGATGCAGAACTAGCACTGGTCCAATATTGTTCATTCACTGGATTATCGTTTCCCAAGAAAAGTGTTGACAAATCAGGTTCCTTACGTTCTTCCATTTTCACCGAAGCTATCTGAGCCATGATCCCAGAAGTTGAAACCTTTGGCCTTATATATCCACTCACCTCAGCACTACCTTCAAAAGGGTATAAATTAGAAGCTGGTGAAGAACCTTCCAAGGAGGCCAAGAGGGGAAACTGCTGTGGCATTCTCCATTGGTCCAAACCAGGTGCAGAGAAGATTGAAGTGGCACCACCACCTAAAGCACTTGTTCCAATTTGATAACCCAAGTCTCCTACTCCTCCCACTGGGCCATAACTGAGGCCATAGTTTAGGCTTATGTCTCCATCTCCAAAGTCACCAAGTTGATGCAATGGAGGCATGAATCTGAAGGGTGGAATTTGGGGTGCAAGCCCTATTCTCTCACTCTTCGAAGATCCCGAGTTGGTAGAATTGACACTTCCTGTCTGGCGGTCAGAGGTTGCCGGAGAGTTGGAGCCGCCGCCACTGCCGCAGGTACCTTTGCTCCGCTTGTTCCTCCTGCAGCCTCCGCCCACGGGGACACTCCTTAAGGCGCCGCCTCTGGTCCAGTACCTCCTGCAGGTCTTGCAGAAGTGGCGGGGCTGGGAGAGACTGTAGTTGTTGAAGTAGCAAAATTTGGTGTTGGTGGATTCGCAGCGTGGACACTTGAGTGCAACCTCTGGCATTGGCATGTTGGCCATCCTTGCCCTATCAGCCATGGATCCTGGCCTGATTGAACCCTCTCCATGAGACTGCATTGCAACCGGAAGTGGTGGCGGTGGTGGTTGAAGCAGCTGCTGAGAGTTGGAGTCACTGCCTCCGGGTTGGTTATTTGGTTGCTACAACGTATAAGCACAAAACAAATGAATAGAGGTTAAAAATAAGAGAAATATTATTAACATTCTCTAGAGTACTTTTTAAACATTTTTTTTCTCATTTACTGAATTTTTTTTTATTTCATATACTCACATAAACTTTTATACAAAAAGTTTAACTTATTAAAATTTGTAATACATAATATTTAATGAATTACGTAATTAAAAAAATTATAAGTAGAGTGTTGAAAGAAATAATACATAGCATTTTCTTTTTTTCAGGTATATTATACATAAGTAAAAAGTAAGAAGAATATTTTGTTTAATGTTTTGAAATCTTTTGCCTTTGAACAAAGAAGCCATAGGAGGGGAGAAACTGAAGAAACTCGTGTGTTTTATTTACCTGTTGCTGCCAATTGGATGCATCAAAATAAGAAGCTGGGATGGAAGTAAAAACCATGATTCACTCTCGGAGCTTAGTTTTTCTATTGTAAAGCTTTATGAGAGAAAATCACATATGAATGTGTGTATTCAGAAGTAAAGAGAGAAGAGAAGACTGTAATGACGAGCTAAAGAGAAGGAAGGGCCTTTAAGTATTTATATATAATGCTGATGTTCATTCTCTTTCGTAACCCTTGTAACACCTTTTATTTTTAACTTTCTAGGGTTTTGAGGTGGTGGTTTCTTAAACAGATAAGCTCCTCTTTCTATGGTTTTCAAGACTGTGACTACTGTGCTAAGACAGTGAGATCAGTGCTAGCGGCTGATCGACCAGCCTATATGTGTCAGGAAGTAATTTGGTTTAGAATAGGTCAAAAAACCTTAACCATATATGATGTGGTTGTGTTGTAAAAACTATAGATTAAGGTGAGGAATGTAATGAATGAAGTTGTTAACGTTTTTTATATCAAAGAAAAAGGTGGCTGTTGGTGCTTTAGTGATGGACATTTGTCGAAACCTTTTCTTGCTCCGGTCTGTTCCCTTCCATACTAAACTTGATTTCTGAAATTTATCCTCGCCACTCTCACGCGTCACCACATGGCGAGTGAGCACACTAATCAAAATAATAGGAGAACCAACATCATAATTGAGTCAACAACACCTGTAAATCGAACTTTTATGGAACCTATTAAATGGTCAAATTTTTTCTACATGTGAATGAGGTATATCATCTATATAATTTTCACTCATCATCCTTATGTTTAGACTTAAAAATAGATTTGAAAGAATGAGACTGAGTGTAAGAGAAAAAGAAAACACAAAAATTAAGTTGTTTAAATTAAAAGGTGTTTCGGTTGAAAGAGTCGTGAGACGATCGTCCTTTCTTTCTCTAATCAACTCTGATTGTCTAATTTTTTAGCCTGTTTTATTTTGATTATCAAACTCTCTTTGCGAACGTAATCCACTTCAACGGATTGTTAACTTGTAAAAGACACTATGACGTTCAAGTCAGATATGTTTCTCAATAAGGTCTCAACTTAATTAGCTTAGAAAAGAGTATCATTAGTTGAACATTAATAACCTATTTATAGGGCTTGTGGCAGACAAGCTCATTCATTAACCATTAATACAGTATATTTTTAGACAATCAAATCCAATAATAAACAATTAATATCGTATATTTGTAGAGCATAAGGCAATCTAATCCATTAATTGGCCATTAATACATGTTTGCATACCTAATAACTTCCATAAATAACCATTGCCTTGATCGGCTGGTCTAACCAATCGGCTACTCAATTTGGTAAGTTGATTCTTGTTATGCATTGCCTCGACGAACTGGTCTGACTGATTGGCTACTCAATTAGGTAAGTTGATTCTTGCTATGGTGTCGACCGGTGTATTCCATATAGTACACAGGTCCCCCAAGCCCTAAGCAATTGTCAACAATAGTGAAGGGGTTTATTTCATGCTGATCGGTTGAAAAGTGGCACGAAAATGTTTACTTGTGCAGTTATCTAACCGTTGATCATAGGACACGTGGAAACATGAGATCCATGACCGTTGAATTTGAAAGATTGAACTCCCTTAGCCATCCGATTCAAGTGTGATGGACGATTGATATTGAATTCTGGGAACCGCTTTTTTCAGCTATAAATAGGAGGTGGGGTCACTGTCACTATCACGCTACCTTTCTTCTTCGACTGATCTTTCTTCTCTAACCAATCTTTGCATCCTTTTCTTCCAAGTAACCATGTCTTCTACCTCAGGGTCGTCCGATGAGCTCGCTGGTGAAGGTCGGCGGTATGCTGACGCTACAAGGGAGTCGTCTTCATCAATAGTGTCTTTTATCTTTGGTTCCAACGATGGAAGGGATCAGCCATTGACACACGATGCTGCTGGAGATTCTTCTCCATCCCGAAACCCTTATTTCGTCTAAGGATGCTACGAACGAAGGAGTAGAAATACAAAGTGACACCGCTAGAGAGTGGGATGGGGTTTCTAGGACTCTTCCGCCACCCGTTGTTGGGTACGAGTAGGCCTGCCACGAGGTAGGACTATATACACCCTTTTTTTGCTACTGGTGCCTTATTGATAGATTTTGCCAATCGAGTTAGCATACTAGCCAATGCGAAAGATGCTGATAGTATCAAGCTGGCCATATGTAAAAGGAATGAATGGGCCTGTCACGGTTGGGAATTTATGGCATCGACTTCTTCTATGTATATTCCACCTTGTTCCACGACCTGGGCGTTCGTCTACCCTTTACAGAATTCCAGACAAATGTTCTCTATTACTTGAATGTGGCCCCAACTCATCTTCACCCGAACGGGTGGGCGTACATGCAAGCATTTTCCATGGTTTGCATTGCCCTTGCCCTTATGCCTACACCTACTTCGTTTCTTTATTTTTTCCGTGCCTTGCCCCATCCTAACAAGTCCTGGTTGTCTTTTTCACCTAAAGGATAGGCACTTGTTTAAATTATTTAACACTTCCTACAAAGAATTTAAGACAAATTTCTTCAAGGTATCTATAAAGGAGGTTGGTCGGTCTAGCTTTTATTTGGACAATAATCGACCCAAAATTCATTTCTACTAGACCAAGCATCCTAAGAGGGTGATCTCATGGGCAAAGTCCGCATTGACTCCGAATGAACTTGACGCGGTCAATCAGCTTGATCAGCTACCTCAAAAGACCTCTTCTCGGACGCTCATCAGCTTCTTGGGTTCCCACACTCTATGTACTAAAGTGTTTGGTAAGCTTCCTTAAGTTTGTTTATCTAAATTTTCTTTTGTGCCGCATATCTTTTTCATGCTTTGGAAAAAGGAAAAGCTTTTATGTTAATGATGACTCATTGTAAAGAAGAGCTCTAGAAGACCGGAGAAGGTACTTCTGTTGCCGCTCATCCTCCGATCTCTAAGTCCATCATTCCTTCCCGTACGGTCAACACTGCTTTTTGGATAGCTCTAGATCTGAAGCCTTCCTCCACTCCCCTTTCAACTGTTGCTTCTAAGGTTTTTCCTCCTAAGGGTGGAGGCAAGCATAAATCCTCTTGCGAGAAGTCTGTATCATCCTATAAAAAGAGCAAGAGAAAAATTCCCGAGGGGCCTCTGATTGCCGGTCTGTATTGGCATGGGTTGCCTTTAGTGGAAATGTTGTGTAGAACTAATAGGTTGATCATTGTTCCTTATACAGGGATGTATGGGTTGTCAATGTATTGATTGTCATAGCCTTACTATGTGGTTATACTATTTGATGTGATAGGATTGTGAAAAAGGTTTAATATCTGACATATAAGTGTTTTGTTGGTGTTTAAAGGTTGATTATGAGAGCTCACTGATGAATGCACATTTATGTCCACATTTATGTTTTAAAATTCAAATTTTTTATAAGATTCTTGTGCTTAAATGATTGATTTAAAGAGAATTTGTGACGATTGGATTTATTGGGTTTGAGAATTAAATATGCTTAAAATGTGATTCTTATTTGCATAAATTATTTTGGATGTTCTAAACTTTATTTGTGCAGCTAAAGTTAGAATTTTATTCATTTAAAAGCAAGAAATTGAATGGTCAAAGCTTGTCCAATCTGGTCAACTCAAGGCTCCTATGCAATTTTAAAAAGAAAGAGATGACTAAAGTGCAATTAGAGGAAGATTTCTGGACTTCTGTGCAATTTTTGAATAAAATAAAAAGGGTTGAAATGTAATTTTGGGCAAGTTTAAATCTGTTAGATATTTTAAAAGATAATTTAGAGAAAATATATCTTAAGATATTTTATTTGATATTGTTAAATAATTACCTTATTTAACTATATCAATAAATATCAAAAGATAATATTTGCCAAATCTTTTTGAATCTAGGAAAGATATTATCAAAAGGTACTAATTTCAACTATAATTAATTAAGAATTTACTTTGCTTAATTAACTTTTAATTTGGTTAAGAGATTTAAGAATAGACATGATTAAAAATACAATAGAATTTGACTGAGAATATACTTTGGTTGAATTAATTGTGAATAATCTAGAAAGGTCTTGCATTTGATTGAGAATTTACTTTGGTTAACTGCATGATCGCCCTCAAATTAATTAAGAATGTACTTTAATTAGTTTGAAACTTGAACAATAATCAATTGAACAATGATCTATAGATAATCGATGATGAATCTATCTTGGAAAAGTAGTGGAATTAGCCTATTTCACCATNCCGCCACTGCCGCAGGTACCTTTGCTCCGCTTGTTCCTCCTGCAGCCTCCGCCCACGGGGACACTCCTTAAGGCGCCGCCTCTGGTCCAGTACCTCCTGCAGGTCTTGCAGAAGTGGCGGGGCTGGGAGAGACTGTAGTTGTTGAAGTAGCAAAATTTGGTGTTGGTGGATTCGCAGCGTGGACACTTGAGTGCAACCTCTGGCATTGGCATGTTGGCCATCCTTGCCCTATCAGCCATGGATCCTGGCCTGATTGAACCCTCTCCATGAGACTGCATTGCAACCGGAAGTGGTGGCGGTGGTGGTTGAAGCAGCTGCTGAGAGTTGGAGTCACTGCCTCCGGGTTGGTTATTTGGTTGCTACAACGTATAAGCACAAAACAAATGAATAGAGGTTAAAAATAAGAGAAATATTATTAACATTCTCTAGAGTACTTTTTAAACATTTTTTTTCTCATTTACTGAATTTTTTTTTATTTCATATACTCACATAAACTTTTATACAAAAAGTTTAACTTATTAAAATTTGTAATACATAATATTTAATGAATTACGTAATTAAAAAAATTATAAGTAGAGTGTTGAAAGAAATAATACATAGCATTTTCTTTTTTTCAGGTATATTATACATAAGTAAAAAGTAAGAAGAATATTTTGTTTAATGTTTTGAAATCTTTTGCCTTTGAACAAAGAAGCCATAGGAGGGGAGAAACTGAAGAAACTCGTGTGTTTTATTTACCTGTTGCTGCCAATTGGATGCATCAAAATAAGAAGCTGGGATGGAAGTAAAAACCATGATTCACTCTCGGAGCTTAGTTTTTCTATTGTAAAGCTTTATGAGAGAAAATCACATATGAATGTGTGTATTCAGAAGTAAAGAGAGAAGAGAAGACTGTAATGACGAGCTAAAGAGAAGGAAGGGCCTTTAAGTATTTATATATAATGCTGATGTTCATTCTCTTTCGTAACCCTTGTAACACCTTTTATTTTTAACTTTCTAGGGTTTTGAGGTGGTGGTTTCTTAAACAGATAAGCTCCTCTTTCTATGGTTTTCAAGACTGTGACTACTGTGCTAAGACAGTGAGATCAGTGCTAGCGGCTGATCGACCAGCCTATATGTGTCAGGAAGTAATTTGGTTTAGAATAGGTCAAAAAACCTTAACCATATATGATGTGGTTGTGTTGTAAAAACTATAGATTAAGGTGAGGAATGTAATGAATGAAGTTGTTAACGTTTTTTATATCAAAGAAAAAGGTGGCTGTTGGTGCTTTAGTGATGGACATTTGTCGAAACCTTTTCTTGCTCCGGTCTGTTCCCTTCCATACTAAACTTGATTTCTGAAATTTATCCTCGCCACTCTCACGCGTCACCACATGGCGAGTGAGCACACTAATCAAAATAATAGGAGAACCAACATCATAATTGAGTCAACACCACCTGTAAATCGAAACTTTTATGGAACCTATTAAATGGTCAATTTTTTTTCTAATGAGGTATATCATCTGTATAATTTTCACTCATCATCCTTATGTTTAGACTTAAAAATAGATTTGAAAGAATGAGACTGAATTTAAGAGAAAAAGAAAACACAAAAATTAAGTTGTTTAAATTAAAAGGTGTTTCGGTTGAAAGAGTCGTGAGACGATCGTCCTTTCTTTCTTTATTCATCTCCAATCGCTTATTCTTCTAGCCTGCTCTATTCCGATTGTCAAACTCTCTTTGCGAACGTAATCCACTTCAACGAGTTGTTGACTTGTAGAAGACACTCTGACGTTCAAGTCAGATATGTTTCTCAAGAAGGTCTCAACTTAATTAGCTTAGAAAAAAGTGTCCTTACTTGGACATTAATCACCTATTTATAGGGCTTGTGGCAGACAAGCTCATTAATTAACCATTAATACAGTATATTTTTAGGCAATTAAATCCAATAATCAACTATTAATATCGTATATTTGCAGAGCATAAGGCAATCTGACCCATTAATTGGCCATTAATACATGTTTGACATACCTAATAACTTCCATAAATAACCATTGCCTTGACCGGCTGGTCTGACCAATCGGCTACTCAATTTGGTAAGTTGATTCTTGTTATGCATTGCCTCGACCAGCTGGTCTGACCGATCGGCTACTCAATTAGGTAAGTTGATTCTTGCTATAGTGTCGACCGGTGTACTCCATACAGTACACAGGTCCCCCAAGCCCCAAGCAATTGTCAACAATGGCGAAGGGGTTTATTTCATGTTGATCAGTTGAAAAGTGGCACGAAAATGTTTACTTGTGCAGTTATCTAACCGTTGATCATAGGACACGTGGAAACATGGGATCCGTAACCGTTGAATTTGAAAGATCGAACTCCCTTAGCCATCCGATTCAAGTGTGATGGACGGTTGATATTGAATTCTGGGAACCGCTTTTTTCAGCTATAAATAGGAGGTGGGGTCACTGTCATTATCACGCTACCTTTCTTCTTCGACTGATCTTTCTTCTCTGACCAATCTTTGCATCCTTTTCTTCCAAGTAACCATGTCTTCTACCTCAGGGTCGTCCGATGAGCTCGCTAGTGAAGGTCGGCGGTATGCTGACGCTACAAGGGAGTCGTCTTCATCAATAGTGTCTTTTATCTTTGGTTCCAACGATGGAAGGGATCAGCCATTGACACACGATGCTGCTGGAGATTCTTCTCCATCCCGAAACCCTTATTTCGTCTAAGGATGCTACGAACGAAGGAGTAGAAATACAAAGTGACACCGCTAGAGAGTGGGATGGGGTTTCTAGGACTCTTCCGCCACCCGTTGTTGGGTACGAGTAGGCCTGCCACGAGGTAGGACTATATACACCCTTTTTTTGCTACTGGTGCCTTATTGATAGATTTTGCCAATCGAGTTAGCATACTAGCCAATGCGAAAGATGCTGATAGTATCAAGCTGGCCATATGTAAAAGGAATGAATGGGCCTGTCACGGTTGGGAATTTATGGCATCGACTTCTTCTATGTATATTCCACCTTGTTCCACGACCTGGGCGTTCGTCTACCCTTTACAGAATTCCAGACAAATGTTCTCTATTACTTGAATGTGGCCCCAACTCATCTTCACCCGAACGGGTGGGCGTACATGCAAGCATTTTCCATGGTTTGCATTGCCCTTGCCCTTATGCCTACACCTACTTCGTTTCTTTATTTTTTCCGTGCCTTGCCCCATCCTAACAAGTCCTGGTTGTCTTTTTCACCTAAAGGATAGGCACTTGTTTAAATTATTTAACACTTCCTACAAAGAATTTAAGACAAATTTCTTCAAGGTATCTATAAAGGAGGTTGGTCGGTCTAGCTTTTATTTGGACAATAATCGACCCAAAATTCATTTCTACTAGACCAAGCATCCTAAGAGGGTGATCTCATGGGCAAAGTCCGCATTGACTCCGAATGAACTTGACGCGGTCAATCAGCTTGATCAGCTACCTCAAAAGACCTCTTCTCGGACGCTCATCAGCTTCTTGGGTTCCCACACTCTATGTACTAAAGTGTTTGGTAAGCTTCCTTAAGTTTGTTTATCTAAATTTTCTTTTGTGCCGCATATCTTTTTCATGCTTTGGAAAAAGGAAAAGCTTTTATGTTAATGATGACTCATTGTAAAGAAGAGCTCTAGAAGACCGGAGAAGGTACTTCTGTTGCCGCTCATCCTCCGATCTCTAAGTCCATCATTCCTTCCCGTACGGTCAACACTGCTTTTTGGATAGCTCTAGATCTGAAGCCTTCCTCCACTCCCCTTTCAACTGTTGCTTCTAAGGTTTTTCCTCCTAAGGGTGGAGGCAAGCATAAATCCTCTTGCGAGAAGTCTGTATCATCCTATAAAAAGAGCAAGAGAAAAATTCCCGAGGGGCCTCTGATTGCCGGTCTGTATTGGCATGGGTTGCCTTTAGTGGAAATGTTGTGTAGAACTAATAGGTTGATCATTGTTCCTTATACAGGGATGTATGGGTTGTCAATGTATTGATTGTCATAGCCTTACTATGTGGTTATACTATTTGATGTGATAGGATTGTGAAAAAGGTTTAATATCTGACATATAAGTGTTTTGTTGGTGTTTAAAGGTTGATTATGAGAGCTCACTGATGAATGCACATTTATGTCCACATTTATGTTTTAAAATTCAAATTTTTTATAAGATTCTTGTGCTTAAATGATTGATTTAAAGAGAATTTGTGACGATTGGATTTATTGGGTTTGAGAATTAAATATGCTTAAAATGTGATTCTTATTTGCATAAATTATTTTGGATGTTCTAAACTTTATTTGTGCAGCTAAAGTTAGAATTTTATTCATTTAAAAGCAAGAAATTGAATGGTCAAAGCTTGTCCAATCTGGTCAACTCAAGGCTCCTATGCAATTTTAAAAAGAAAGAGATGACTAAAGTGCAATTAGAGGAAGATTTCTGGACTTCTGTGCAATTTTTGAATAAAATAAAAAGGGTTGAAATGTAATTTTGGGCAAGTTTAAATCTGTTAGATATTTTAAAAGATAATTTAGAGAAAATATATCTTAAGATATTTTATTTGATATTGTTAAATAATTACCTTATTTAACTATATCAATAAATATCAAAAGATAATATTTGCCAAATCTTTTTGAATCTAGGAAAGATATTATCAAAAGGTACTAATTTCAACTATAATTAATTAAGAATTTACTTTGCTTAATTAACTTTTAATTTGGTTAAGAGATTTAAGAATAGACATGATTAAAAATACAATAGAATTTGACTGAGAATATACTTTGGTTGAATTAATTGTGAATAATCTAGAAAGGTCTTGCATTTGATTGAGAATTTACTTTGGTTAACTGCATGATCGCCCTCAAATTAATTAAGAATGTACTTTAATTAGTTTGAAACTTGAACAATAATCAATTGAACAATGATCTATAGATAATCGATGATGAATCTATCTTGGAAAAGTAGTGGAATTAGCCTATTTCACCATAATTGTTTCTAAGTTCCCTCTTTNATCTTAAGATATTTTATTTGATATTGTTAAATAATTACCTTATTTAACTATATCAATAAATATCAAAAGATAATATTTGCCAAATCTTTTTGAATCTAGGAAAGATATTATCAAAAGGTACTAATTTCAACTATAATTAATTAAGAATTTACTTTGCTTAATTAACTTTTAATTTGGTTAAGAGATTTAAGAATAGACATGATTAAAAATACAATAGAATTTGACTGAGAATATACTTTGGTTGAATTAATTGTGAATAATCTAGAAAGGTCTTGCATTTGATTGAGAATTTATTTTGGTTAACTGCATGATCGCCCTCAAATTAATTAAGAATGTACTTTAATTAGTTTGAAACTTGAACAATAATCAATTGAACAATGATCTATAGATAATCGATGATGAATCTATCTTGGAAAAGTAGTGGAATTAGCCTATTTCACCATAATTGTTTCTAAGTTCCCTCTTTGTTCTTCAAACATTCCTCAAACATTAACTTTATTAGCATAGTTTCTCACTTTTATTCTTGAGCATTGCATAATGTTCATAAAAGTCAAATATTGAAAAGAAATTCCATATTCATTGGGAGACGACTCAATTTTACTTTAACCCTATCTACTTTCTTGAATACTACTTGGCAATATTGGAGTTGTCTTAAAAAGTAGTATTAATTTGATAGCTTAACGACAACGTATCACTCACCCATATATTTGTTTGTGTTGTTTGTGCCTGTGGCAATGATCGTATAATGTGTGTTATATGGGAGCTCAAATAGGTATGCAGATGATATTGAAGC